AATAAATATTAGGAAGAGAGTCAGACAGGGATGCATAGTGTCACCGCTACTTTTTAATCTATACATCGAAGACGCGATCAATATCATTAAAGACAGTACAACTGTAGGAATAGATATACAGGAGCAAAGAATTAGCATGCTTACGTTTGCAGATTATACAGCAGTATTAGTATTAGCAAGGAGAATTTACGATATAGCTTTAAATAGAATGGTGATAAAACAGTACTCTATGAAAATAAATAAAATAAAATAAAAAATAAAAGTAAAACAAAAATACCGGTATGCAAGGGAAGACAAAGTACGGAAAGAGCGAATATAAAGATAGGAGACGAAGAATTAGAAGAAGTGGCTGATTTTAGGTATCTAGGAAGTCAGGTAAATCAGGACAGAAGTAGTAGGGATATTAAGCAGAGGATAGCGCAGACAACAGTATATTTATAGGCGTAAAAATTCTATTTCATTTATACCGAATACGCGCCTAGACAAATTCATTGTTAAACCGTTAAACCGTATTTATTTAATCGGTTGAAAAACGTTTTCAGAAGTTCATAATGTTCATCGTTGTTATTAGAAGGAACAAAAACGTCGTCAACAAATACGAAAACTGATTCTAAGTCGCGCGTTGTCTCATCAAGAAAACGTTGGCACATTTGTCCAGCATTACATAAACCAAACGGTGTAAATAAGTACTCACCGAGCGGCATGGCCTAGAGGTCTAGACCATTGCTTAGCATTCGGGAGGACGCGGGTTCGATTCCGTTCTGTCCGTCTGCCTTGGTCCAAGTTTTTCTGTGGTTTTCTTGGATCACTTAGGCAAATGCTGAGGCAGTAACATTCCACAGATAATCTTTCACTCTCTTCTGTCTTCATTTCGTCCGTCTCAACTTTCTCACCCGAACCACCACCCACCCATTCCCACGATTCCTGAAAGCAGGCTGAAGAGGGCCTTCCGCCCTACCTTCCGGCATAGCCCGGAGGGACTGCCCGCCCACCAGCATTACTGGCTGGTGGGAATGAAACACCCAAAAGTTTTAAAAAAAATAAGTACTCGAATAATCCGAAAGGTGTGATTATAGCGGTTTTAGCTATATTTTTTGAAGCTGCGCTTCTTGGACTAAATCAATTTTTACCAAGTTGTTGCGCAAAATCTTCGATGTAGGGTAGCATATTCGGCTTTCGCTGTTTTAAGACGGTCTGGTGCAAGTCTACGAGGTTTGCAATTAACAGGAGGATCCGGCGTTGATTCTATGAAATGATCGGTGTTACGTTTGACGGCTTGTCTCTGCAAAATACTGCAGGTCTTCTAATGTCTGGGTAATCAGCGAGCTGTTTCGCCTACAATAGTTTTAATGGAACTACTTTGTTGACAGACTCATTTTCCACTTGCTGAAAGATTTGTTGTTCGGTCTACAATTCTTTTGTTTCGCGGATCGATTAACAAATTATAGTATGATAGGAAATCCATGCCTATAATAAGAATGTCGACGTTGCCGAGCTCAGCCGCGCACACCGGCGGCCTCTCTAGTTTTCCGGATTCTAGTTACAGGGAGAAACACATTTGTTTTTTTTTTTACACTCATCACCAAAACGATAGTGGTTCCAACATACGTGGTACCGTTTGCAACTTTTACTGCGGTCTCGAGATTTATTTTTGTTTCGTAAGTGTGGTCTACCTCTGTGTTGGTTCTTATCTTCAAAAATAGCGTTTAACATTAGCCGTGTTGTCAAAATTTCCTCGTACAACTTTTCTAAGGGTAACTGTTTTGAAGACGATTCGGCTTTTAGCTGTACTGGCTCCACAATAACGCTGATCCTGCTGTTTCTTTCAGTTGGTATATCGTGGATCTGATCGACTATTTCAAAAAGCTTATCAGCGCCTATTTTGGTTAACGCTTTACTTGTAACCTGGTAGTCCACATTGCCACTAAAGAGTCGTCACTTACGAAAGAGTTCCCAAATTTTTTTAGATAACTCCAAAACTGAGTAGGTTGCCTGTCGCCAATTTTTTCGTTTTCAAGAAATTTTCGCAATCGCGCCGAATTTAATTACAGCACTTTTGTTTATTTATTTTGAGCTACCGCGTCACTCCTTTCTCCTATGAGGGAGCACATAAATTTTATGATCGGAGTTTAAATGCAAATAAACTACTTTTAAGAGGGAGAAACACGAGTAACGGCACTTAGTAATATTTATTTAAACTAATAACAATTACTGCTACAAAAATGTATGTACATAAGACCCTTTCGCTGATTTTTATGACTAAATGCTGAACTTTTTGATTTTGATTCTGAATTGTGAGTTTTGAACTTCTCCTAAAAGAAAACCTTTGGGTGTTTCATTCCCACCAGTTACTAATGCAGGTGGGCGGACATTCCCCCCGGACTATGCTGGAAAGCAGGTTAGAAGGCCCTCTTCATCCTCCTTTCGGGAATCATGGGAATGGATGGATAGTGGTTCGGGTGAGAAAGATGACACGGACGAAATAAAGACATAAGAGAATGAAAAATTATCTACGGAATATTACTGCTTCAACATTTGCCTAAGTGATCCAACGAAGCAACAGAAAAATTTAGACCAAGGCAGACAGACCCGGAATCGAACCGACGTCCTCCCGAAAATGCTAAGCAATGGTCTAAACCTCTAGGCCATGTCGCTCGGTGAACTTCTCTTTTTGTGTCAGCATATAAATACCTAAACACAATCTCCACTCTGATAGAGGAAGTAATGAAGGTGGTGACTAGTATTCAAATATTTGAAATACTTGTTTATAGATGTAAGCGTGTCTACAGTATTTTGAATATACCGTCGCTATCGCACCTAAATTACCTGCATAAGAATGCAGCATTTCGACGATATATGTAAACCATCAATTTCTAGATTAAGGTCTAAAGGAAAAAGCAGGTGAATATCCCCTGAATCTGAATACACTTTTTAAGGTTTCGTACTTCTTCTCCACTGTGATTTCGAAATAACGTTATCTATTTTTTCCAAGTATAGCGGCCCTAATTCACTAATAACCACAGCGAAACTTTTTTAGACCAAAACGGCGGTAGTTTTACTGTCACGTCGCACTTTTGCCCTCAATTTGGGAAACATCATTGTTCTCCATCGTACTATTATTTTCGACAACAAGATATGAAATAGGTAGGTGAACATGTTTTAATCGTTTACGTATAACAAAATGTGCCTACGTGGTACTTAAACAATTTTTGCTTGCATCTTATTGTTTTTGTCTCTATATTCCTCTTTTGAAATATTCCAAATCTCAGTATTTTTTTGAACTGCTTCAGAAAAGAATTATAGGTATATCCACAAAATGATAAGATATGTTTGTTGAGGTTCCTAAAGGGAACTGCTTCAATATTTATAAAGCATTGCTATTCTTGTATATTATGTAGCATAAGTTTCAATATTTCTAAACTTCACCCTTTTCATACCTCTCCGTATTCTAAATCCTTTTCTGCACTTATGACTCATCTCAACATCCCTAAAAGGTATTAATAAATGTTTACAGATTACACGAATAAGCTCCGAACATGCACCGTTTGCGATTAAGCATCGTATGCAGGTCTACATTCTTGAGATATCATTTTGCTTCAACATAATAATCCGCCAAAGTCGGTCGCGAGAGCAGTGGCTCGTCTAGGGAGCAAAAATATCCTCCCTGTATACATTAATGCGATGTCGTTGTATACAGCAATTTACAAGAAACATCACTTACCCGGATTATTATTATTGCATTGTTGAATTTTCCCTAAGATATGAATGTTAGTTTATTAATATTATAAATATTTAAAAAGTTTGTACCTATTTAATTTGTATGGACTAATGGGCTAATACTTTCAAAAACAGAACATGTATACTTCAATGTAAGAACAAATGCTTTTACGGCCGGAATCTACAGTAGAAAGAAGATTCGGGCTATAGGGCTGTGGTCTAAGTGAACTATTCTGTCCAGACGTTTCGTGCTGCGTTGACAACGTGAACGTAGATTATATCTCGAAGTCCTGACAGCGACACCCAGTCTGCTATCCACTACCACTGAGGATATCAGCCGCAGTAGCTTACGAAACGTCTGGACAGAATAGTTCACTTAGACCACGGCCCTATAGCCCTATAGCCCGAATCATCATTCTACTATGAATACTTCATTTAATGAACTGACATTTATATTTTAAGAAGAATTCAAAAATACAGTAAAATACATTTAAAATAATGAAGTTAGGGTACACTTCCAGTATAACCCGATATCCACCGTACTTGAAAATATTGTTACACCAGTAGGCACTTAAGTTTACATAACTTCCTGTTTCAAAATCTCCAGTTGGAAGAAACCCCTGATGGATAAATTTCCTATACAATACGAAAAATTTCTTTACGAATAACAGACACTTACCTTTATGTATATTATGTAATAGAACACATAGGCAAAATAAAATACAATCTTTAAATTTAATTTGATAAAATTTAAATACTTGGTAGTTTTAAAAAGTGCAGTACAATGATTATTTTTAACCTTCCCTCATAATAATTCGAAACTTTTTTTGAATTACTATTTAGAACTTATTGTTAAACCGACCAGTTTCGTATGGCCCGAATCTTCATTCTACTACGACCAGTTTCGTGTTTGGATTTTAATTTTTTGCAGGAAAGAAACATTTGTATTTATGTTTTGCACTAACCAAAGCAATTCCGAAGCTTATATTAGCCTTCTATATTTCTTTAAAGTACTGCCCTGCAAAATGTGAGAACATGGATATTATAGGATGTGTTCGCTGATATTACTTGCGTGGTACTTTTTGATGGTAAAAATTGTTCTAAAGGGATGTTTCATTGTTACTATTTACTATTCTAATATTAAATGGCCAAATGTTCGAGTGAAAGTGCTATTCAATAGCTTTGTCATAGAAAATCTAACAGAGGTTGTACCAAATTAGAAATTTTTTTATGTTTTGAAAAAGTAGCATTAATTTTATCTTAAACTACAAAATGGATTTCAGTTTTGGAATATGTCGGCCCAAAATGGAGAACTTTTGTAGCAAATATGTCCATAGCTATATTTTTCACATTCGCCGCAGCCGTCTTGCCATGGATTGCTTGGTTTTTGGAAGATTGGAGAATGTTTACCGTAGTAACTTCCGTCCCGTTGGCATTGGCCGTTTTAACTCCATGGGTTGTTCCAGAATCTGCAAGGTAAAGAATCCATTGCTTCACCGAATTTATGTGCATTGTTTTATTAGTTTTTTTTTTTTTATTTCTAGATGGCTAGCATCACAAGGAAAAGTAGACAAAGCTATCGAAATTTTAAAGAAGTTTGAGAGAATTAATGGAACAAAAGTGGACGATAAAATATATACACAGTTTTCGGTAAGTATTCATTGGAGTTTTTTTCATTCCAATATTTCAATCATTCAAAGAAGTAGTAAAATATATATTGAAAAAACTATTGTCATTTTTCAATTATTACACAGTACTAAAGACGTCCTCATTATTACTACATTATGAAATATCAAGGAAGACCTAAAATTTTTTTAATGCAAGACATAGTTAGGCTCTGTTGTAGTTAATAATGTTATTTTTTTACTTTATTCATTTCTTTTTAAATTAATTATTTGTTACCTGAACTGAAAAAATTAAAGTTTTAAATGAAATGAATACATTATTAGAAGTATTTATACTAGTATGTGTGAGGTAAATATTAATTATAAATTTTGGTCATTATATTTCCTAAAAAACATAATTTGCCTATAAATTTTGTATAGATAAATATTATGTCGTCAGTTTTATTTAATTACAATAACTTATGAATATACAAGTTATATATTGCCTCTTATTTTTAATATAAAGAAACTACTGTACATCTTATGCAC